ATGCTTAGCGCGTGCACAACTCAGGCCGAAGGTACAGCCTCATAAAAACACCAGTAACGCACCAGGCGACCATTAAGATGTACTTCTGAAGTTTTTGAAGCTGAAATTTTTTGAATAGGTTTTTGGATTTCTAGCTGTCAAAGAGTCTAGTCCTTCGCTCTACTTCCATCCTTTTCCAGGTACTTCTTTGATGATGTGACAATTGATTTGTTCAGATCCGAGCGAATCATCGGTCCAATTCATAACAGTGGTTTAGCTGAGATTTTGGCAGCTCAGATGGCTTTGCGATCACTGAGAAAATGGAAAGGCTATAAGTAGGTCATAGATGAAAACTGAACCCGAATACATGTTTGTTTTCCAAATTTCACATCGCTCCTCACAAATTGATCACATTTCAGAAATGAACCAGTCATACTGCGCACAGACTTTTTGCCATTGGTACGAGCCTATGAGTGGTGGCACAAGTGATGGGAGGTCGGCCCTATCAGTTCACCTATCTACCGCTTTTCTTATTCACCGATTTGTTCCATGTTGTATTTATGGTTAGATATTCAGATTCGCTGAAGAAATGGAAACAGTGCGGAGCTTAGCGATGGAATATCCAAACGGCGTGCAGTTTGAACATGTCTACGCTCACGATGGTGATCCCGGCAATGAGCAGGTGAGGGGATCACTAAGACTTCGGGATTTCCCTTTTATTAAAGCGTTGGGGTGCAGACGGGCGGATGTGGTTGGTTAGGCTATCTCAGAGTAGCCCAGGAACGCGCCTAGGCAGCGTTGAGAGTTCGGAATCGAACATGCGAACAGGCGATCGGGTGGTTAAGGGATGGTCTGCAGCGAAAAAGAGACTTATCGATTAGGCGACTACAGGAGCAGGAGATTAGGCTATTAATGGCAAGGTCGGTGCTCAGCCTCACGTAGTAGCCTCTCGTGTATGGAGATGTGTTATCCGCCACTGCAGAAGTCGCGCCACCTTCGCACATCGAAACGCGTCACTAAGACGCTAGGCGCTAAGGACTTTGATCAAATCCCACCAACAACGATCAGGACCCGCCCACCTTTCGAGATATTGTTGTTCTGCTACGTGGGTCTCTACTTAAGTTTTTCTTATCTCTTCCGCGACTCAGGTTATCTCTCAAGTCTGGCCCTCCTTCTAGACTTCTCTGTGGAGCTGGAAGGCACGTGCTTGCTGATTTCTGGATTTTTCAAATTTTCTTTTCATTTTCTGCAGTCGCAGTCCACTTCCCATCCCTACTTTCACATTTGAGTGGGATTTCTACATCAATTCAATCCTGATCTTTGTCCTTAAAACTGCATACGTGTCGGTTTTTCCGTCCACTGAGCGATCGTTTAATTGCCTAGTCGCGTACTCACCTAAGCACCTAATCGCCTGATGGATTCCTATGCCTTTCTTTGGAATCCTCGCTTAATCGCTTGATCGCCTGGTCGCATAAACGATCGATACAAATCGACGCTGCATCAAGAGATTTGAACGAAATATGGCAGGCTCACGGTGTTCGTATGAAGCTACTGCAATTGATCTGGAGGAGACTGAATATTGAACAAATTCGTGTTGGGACCTACTGCGTGTATGATAGTCTGCGGAAATCATCAATTCCTTTAGCTGTTATCTGAAAAGGTTCTAGGAATCGATCATCATACCATTAATGAAATTCATTGTTTCAAGAATTTGCTGCTAGTAAGTGCAGAATCCACCCTAGTAGGAGGTGTCTATCGGGGTCAAATATCGAATAGGGGTTGTTGTAGGAAATAACGAATAAAAATAAAAGAATAAAAAAGCGAAAAGAGCAGGCAGAGTCGCTTTGAATAAGGTGTTTTGTTGCAGTTGATAGGTTAACATGTGTAGCCGAGAGAGTGCGTAAGCGGTTGAGATATTGACGGCAAGAAGAATAGAAAGGGTAGAGACAAGAGAGACGCAGACAGATGCAGAGATGCTAGCGGATGTGATGCGCTCCTGGGCTTCCTTCAGCCACTGAGATAGTATCCGACCAAGCTCCACTAGCATGCTCAACAATTTTCAGTTTACCCTTTCCAGGCTGACGCCCTAGCAAGGATAGCGACCGCAGATGCGAGACGAGCGCGATCCGCAAGTGCCCCACGATATGGTCGATGGGGCAGGAACAACTGGGAACGAAGGAGTCGGTCAAGAAGTAGCGAACGACGACCCCGATCAAGAGAGCGCAAGAGCAACTGGAGTAAGTTTAGCTGTTGAGATGGTTACGAGTTTTTACTGGGCTTCTCAAGTCAAAAGGTAAAGAGCACGCTGCATGGACGGAAGGCCGCCAAGACTTGAAGGTGTCCCTAGAGGGTTTTGACCGCTGTTCATGACGCTGCTGGGCTTTATTTATATGAAGGAGCCATACGTAACTGATGCTCATGTCCTGCATATCATTCTGTGCACAGCCTCGACGTGCATGCTATTGTTCCCAAAATTTTGAAAAGTACTCGACAACACCAACCTCAGCCGAGCTTTTACTTACTTACTTAGATACTTAGACGACCCGTTGATCAGCACGGCGGTTGGCCTTGCGCGGGTCCCAACTTCTTTTCCATTGCTCGCGGTCTTGGGCTTTCGTTGTCCAGTGTACGGCCACCTTAAGGGACACAGGATCATACACGTTGTTTCTGTATGCCAAAGAGTCTGCCCAACTCCAGCGGACTGATTCTTCAATTCCTCCATGCTTGGCTGTCCGAAAAGAAAGAGGATAGACTGACTCGACTGCCCTACGAACCACTGCACGTGTCATACGTTCTTTAAATCTTGTTGTTACGTGTGCTTAGAAGAGTGCACGGTGCTCCTCGAGAAAATTAGTATACTATGGTTAAGTTGCTTTAGTGTACTGTATCTGGGTAATTATCTTGAATTGTTCAGATGTTCTTGGAGAGATAAATATTCTTTGCAGATCGATATCGCTCCAAATCCCGTAACAACGATCGCCAACACGTACGAAGTCATAGCGCATTCGTTGCGGGCAGACGGCACTGAATGACAACTTAATGAGAACTTAAAACGATGATCAGCATTACTCTAATATCGGTCCAAACATACACTTCTAACTGACGATACTAATCAATACTTACGGGTTAAGAATTATCACCAAGGGTGAAAAATAAATATTATTGAAAAGGTGTTACGATACAATATGTACTCTAAGCAAAACATCTCACACTTGACCCTGCCTTTCCAATCTCCGGAAAACCCCAATTCGTGACAAACTGATAAGCACCTCGGGCAGCATTGGAAAGGAAATAGTCGGGGTATTATAGAGCCATTTCTTTCACCGTAGAAAAGTCACATATTTTGCTTGCAGGGAGCTCGCACTTTGTTCCGTGGTTTGTCTTCATAGAGAACCCGAACAGACAAGGTTTGCTCCGTTTAGGGATATTTTGGAGTGAAATCGTGATCTGGCTGAGTGCGCGGGACCCAAAAACTTCGTAATATCTGAAGGTCCAGCAGGTCTGTTTGTCAGCGCTCCATGTGAACCTTCACTAGATCTCAACATTCTTCCAACAAGTGCAACATCCAACGGAGATCCACGCAAGCCCATTTTCACTAAGAATTTCATTCCTGTGTGGATTAATTGGTGCCAGCTAGCCAGCTTGTTTGATAGGACAAAAACAGTGACATGAAGATCGACCATCCGTCCCTCTAGGTATTTATGGTAGAATCACATTCAATGTGATACGATTCCAAGTGGGGTTGATTGTGTGCCGTATCACAAAGAAAAGCTGATACCTTTTGACACTCTTTTCGTCTCCGGACATTTCCTTTTGAAAATCGATGATTCGGCGCTATCGCAAGATACGGGGGCATTGATGGTGGCATGCATTTCATACTGCGTGAAACATCCGTTTTCTGTCAAAAATGGGACTCAGCCTTAGGCAGGGGAGGTGAGACTCCAGGAATGCGCAAGCCATTTTCATTTTCTTCGGAGTTCCTGTCCCCTCCTTCGGTACCCGTCAGGAGGCCCGTCGCGCGACGGGAAGACGAGGGCGCAGACGGGTCAGCGGACGAGTCACAGCGCGTATTGTGCAATGTGGACGTACTATAGTACATTCCTATTTAACTTGACGCTAAATCGCTACAGTACGCGCTGCGACTCGTCCGCTGACCCGTCTGCGTCTCTGCCTTCTCGCCGCGCGACGGGCCTCTGTCGGGGTACTCTCTCCTTAGCTACATTTAAATGGTGCCCCTGTATATTGCGATAGCGCCGAATATTCTTGTTTTTAGTCCGCTGAACGATTCCATTGCACTTTTTGAGAACTCGTTTCATTGTGAAAACGACCTTTGAGAAGATTGCTCTCTACTAGACTCAAGTATCTTCTAACCTCAGTGCAAACGGCCTTCAAATGTTCTAACAATGTAAACAACACAAAATCAC